ACAACCCACCTTCACACACACACACCTCCACACAACGCACCTTCACACACACACCACCACACAACCCACCTTCCCACACACACCTTCACACAACCCACCTTCACGTTATTAATCCACACACAGATTTACATATCAGGGAACTAATGGCCGCGTCTCTCTGGAGCTGTAATAATCTGAGTCGCCTCTCCACGGCTGTGTCCACCTCTGTAACAATGTGGACACAACGTTCCACATTGTATTACAATGTTACTGTACCAGTTATATCTGTACCTACAGAACTATACATGATAATTGTTCTTATGTGTACCTGTGCCTAAACAAACTTACATAAAGACTTTTCTTTCTACATACGTAAAATTACCATAATTTTTGGCCAGACTTTCTCTCCTAAGAGAATTATAGAAAAAAAAATAGCCAAAAGTCTCCTTTTTTTTTAATTTGAAATGAAAAACATTGATATATGGTATTCATTTCACTTTTTTTTTTAGTTTTTTTTAACAGTTTTAGTTCAGACAGCTTTTAGCGGACTGAAGGTGTAGCCTCGAGCACTTCAAATAACCCATAAGGGTTTACCGCTTAATAAAGCACTTTGTAGAAATTTTATTGTGTTTTTTTTTTATTCTCTCTGGTCTGTTTTCACCACCTGTTGCTTGTTCCAGCTTCGACCCCGTTCCAGGTGTCAGGAGGGTGAGTCGAGCCTCCTGGACTCCTCGGGTCTGCCGCGTCGTGTAACTATCCTACTAATAATCGTTCTAATAATATTTAGATACAAGATATATTAAGCAAATTTCGTAAATTTGTGTGCAACAGATAAGTGAATTGTAGATATAAATCCAAATGTACACCTGTTAACCCCTTTTAGGGCCTAGTTCCTAGGCCTATTGTGTATCCATATGCTCTTGCACTACTCTCCACAGGATAGATATGATGTGAAGGTAGGTAAGGTTCATTAGGAAACAGGACAAGCGTTTCCTGACGCGGGTCTTAGTCAGGTGATGGCTCGCCGTTGGAGCTTTTGGTCATCTGGCCGAGGCCTTCCGCTGGCTTACCGGTCCATCCCCTTTAAAAAGTATAGTCATAATTAATAACCATTTTTATTATGAGGTGCACAATAAACTAGCCACTTGGTGACAAAATCAATAATGCTAACAATACTACTACTAATACTAATAATAGTACTAATAAGACTAACAATAGTACTAATAAGGCTAATAATAGTACTAATAAGGCTAATAATAGTACTAATAAGGCTAATAATAGTACTAATAAGGCTAATAATAGTACTAATAACGCTAATAATAGTACTAATAAGGCTAATAATAGTACTAATAAGGCTAATAATAGTACTAATAAGGCTAATAATAGTACTAATAAGGCTAATAATAGTACTAATAACGCTAATAATAGTACTAATAAGGTAATAATAGTACTAATAAGGCTAATAATAGTACTAATAAGGCTAATAATAGTACTAATAAGGCTAATAATAGTACTAATAAGGCTAATAATAGTACTAATAAGGCTAATAATAGTACTAATAAGGCTAATAATAGTACTAATAAGGCTAATAATAGTACTAATAACATTGTCGTCTGAGTCACTGGATTGAAAATTACAGTTTTTTATTTTTGAGTTTGCCTGTACCTTACTGGAACGATGTTTGGTTCTGCGTAGAGCTCTATGGACGAAGCTCTACGCAGAGCTGCGTCTTCTGTAGGATTAACCAGTTCATTTTCACCCCATGCGTCTCGATAAACTTGGTAGATAAGTGGAATATCCACTGTTTACACGGTTCCAGGTTTGTACAGATTGTTCTGGCTGTGATGTGAGACGGATGGTGTGAGTGCAGTCTCTCTGTCACACAGAAAGTGAGAAAGGAAGACTAAGACACTCCACAGAAGTCACTTTTCTCTCTCTCTCTCTCTCTCTCTCTCTCTCTCTCTCTCTCTCTCTCTCTCTCTCTCTCTCTCGTCATCCTCTCTCTCTCTCTCTCTCTCATCTCTCTCTCAAATCTCTCCTCTCTCCTCTCTCTCAGTCTCTGTCGTTGTCTCTACTTTTTCCTCTCTTTCTTCCTCCGTCTCTCCCTCTTCCATCTCTCTCTCTCTCTCTCTCTCTCTCTCGCAAGACAGAAACATTATTCCAACTTTCAATTTACGGGGTTGTGAAGGAAGGACGCAGGAAACAATACCGTGACTGGAATAACTCACAACTAACTCACCGTGTTGCTGCCACGGTGTTGTGACCTATGTTGTTGCTGCCACGGTGTTGTGACCTATGTTGTTGCTGCCACGGGTGTTGTACTTGTTTGTTGCTGCCAGTGCTGGAACTGTGTGTGACACTAACTGTTGTTGCTGCCACGGTGTTGTGCCTGTGTTGTTGCTGCCACGGTGTTGTGACCTGGTGTTGTTGCTGCCACGGTGTTGTGACCTGTGTTTGTTTGACGTTGCTGCCACGGTGGTCGTTGTGATGTGTGTTGTTGTGCTGCCACGGTGGTGTGACCTGTGCTGTTGCTGCCACGGTGGTGTGACCTGTGTTGTTGCTGCCACGGTGGTGTGATCTGTGTTGTTGCTGCCACGGTGTTGTGACCTGTGTTGTTGCTGCCACGGTGTTGTGATCTGTGTTGTTGCTGCCACGGTGTTGTGACCTGTGTTGTTGCTGCCACGGTGTTGTGATCTGTGTTGTTGTTGCTGCCACGGTGTTGTGACCTGTGTTGTTGCTGCCACGGTGTTGTGACCTGTGTTGTTGCTGCCACGGTGTTGTGACTGTGTTGTTGCGCCACGGTGTTGTGACCTGTGTTGTTGCTGCCACGGTGTTGTGACCTGTGTTGTTGCTGCCACGGTGCTGTGACCTGTGTTGTTGCTGCCACGGTGTTGTGACCTGTGTTATTGCTGCCACGGTGTTGTGACCTGTGTTGTTGCTGCCACGGTGTTGTGACCTGTGTTGTTTCTGCCACGGTGTTGTGACCTGTGTTGTTGCTGCCACGGTGTTGTGACCTGTGTTATTGCTGCCACGGTGTTGTGACCTGTGTTGTTGCTGCCACGGTGTTGTGACCTGTGTTGTTTGCTGCCCACGGTGTTGTGACCTGTGTTGTTGCTGCCACGGTGTTGTGATCCTGTGTTGTTGCTGCCACGGTGTTGTGACCTGTGTTGTTGCTGCCACGGTGTTGTGACCTGTGTTGTTGCTGCCACGTGTGTGACCTGTGTTGTTGCTGCCACGGTGTTGTGACCTGTTGTTTTGCTGCCACGGTGTGTGACCTGTGTTGTTGCTGCCACGGTGTTGTGACCTGTGTTGTTTCTGCCACGGTGTTGTGACCTGTGTTGTTGCTGCCACGGTGTTGTGACCTGTGTTATTGCTGCCACGGTGTTGTGACCTGTGTTGTTGCTGCCACGGTGTTGTGACCTGTGTTGTTGCTGCCACGGTGTTGTGACCTGTGTTGTTGCTGCCACGGTGTTGTGACCTGTGCTATTGCTGCCACGGTGTTGTGACCTGTGTTGTTGCTGCCACGGTGTTGTGACCTGTGTTGTTGCTGCCACGGTGTTGTGATCTGTGTTGTTGCTGCCACGGTGGTGTGACCTGTGCTGTTGCTGCCACGGTGGTGTGAACTGTGTTGTTGCTGCCACGGTGGTGTGATCTGTGTTGTTGCTGCCACGGTGTTGTGACCTGTGTTGTTGCTGCCACGGTGTTGTGACCTGTGTTGTTGCTGCCACGGTGTTGTGACCTGTGTTGTTGCTGCCACGGTGTTGTGACCTGTGTTATTGCTGCCACGGTGTTGTGACCTGTGTTGTTGCTGCCACGGTGTTGTGATCTGTATTGTTGTTGCTGCCACGGTGTTGTGACCTGTGTTGTTGCTGCCACGGTGTTGTGACCTGTGTTGTTGCTGCCACGGTGTTGTGATCTGTGTTGTTGCTGCCACGGTGTTGTGACCTGTGTTGTTGCTGCCACGGTGTTGTGACCTGTGCTGTTGCTGCCACGGTGTTGTGACCTGTGTTGTTGCTGCCACGGTGTTGTGACCTGTGTTGTTGCTGCCACGGTGTTGTGATCTGTGTTGTTACTGCCACGGTGTTGTGACCTGTGTTGTTGCTGCCACGGTGTTGTGATCTGTGTTGTTGTTGCTGCCACGGTGTTGTGACCTGTGTTGTTGCTGCCACGGTGTTGTGATCTGTATTGTTGCTGCCACGGTATTGTGACCTGTGTTGTTGCTGCCACGGTGCTGTGATCTGTATTGTTGCTGCCACGGTGTTGTGACTTGTGTTCCCGCTGTAGGAACTCTGTTTTGAGCGAATTAAGAACAAGCTGTTAAGAATAACAACGTAAGGCTGATGCATGCAGGGGATGAGATGAAAAACTGTAAGCCTTCTCCCTGCAAGCTGGCTGCCTTGGATCAAAGTCTAGCGCAAGCTGGACTCCAAGGTATTGGTCCAGTGTGGGTAGATTGGTAAAGCACTGCATACCTTGTTCCAAGGTTCGTAGGTTCGAGTCTCCTTCAGCCAGAGATCAGTGTTTGTGTATATTTCGCCTGCTCTTGCGAATTCCTTGCATAATTATATATATATATATATATATATATATAATATATATATATATATATATATATATATATATATATATATATATATATAGATATAGATATATATATGTGTGTGGTGTGTGTGTGTGTGGTGTGTGTGTGTGTGTGTGTGTGTGTGTACTCACCTATTTGTCGTTGCAGGGGTCGAGTCCTAGCTCCTGGCCCCTGTGTGTGTGTGTGGTGTGTGTGTGTGTGTGTGTGTGTGTTATACAAGCATATATCTTTGAGTGTTATATACTCATACATACCTGTGAGTATTATATACACGTATATACCTGTGAGAGTTACATATGTATATATCCTGTTAGTGCTATATTCACACAGGGTGTTTCAAAACCTTGGACCCAATTTCAAAGGAGTACATATTTCAAAATAGGGTCCATCGTTTTGAAACACCCTGTATATGCAATGTGTTTTTATCTCTCTGCTGTAGGAGGTGAGGATGACCATGAAGCTGTTATTGCTGCTGGTGATCTGCTGTGCACTGCTCTCCCCCCCGGCTGCTGCAAGACCTCCGCAGAGGTATAGTCTCTCTTCTGACCTCTCTCTCACCCCAGTCTGACCTCTCTCGCCTGTATACGATATTGTGCGGGTTAGCTATGAATTGTTACAGTCACGGTATTGTATGTTAGTTGAAAAGGTACACACACGGTATTATAGGTTAGTTGTAAATAGTTCCAGTCACGGTATTGTGGGTTAGTTGTGAATTATCTTAGCCACGAAACTGTAGACTAAGCATAAAACGACGTAACCACGGTACTGTGAGTCAGATATAAATTGTTGCAGCCACAGTACTGTGATTTGTGTTCACCAACATTAATTAAGGTTACTAAGTCAGTGGTGGTGGTGGTCGTCGTCATTGCAGGCAGAAACGTGTTAGTGACCAGCGTCTGGCCGAGCTGGAGACGTTGCTGGCCCTGGCCAAGATGAAGAACAGGAAGTACGTTACTCTGCCTGTCGGATTTGGCCTTATTGACGTCAAGCAGATGTAAGTACATCGTTACTCTGGCTTTCTCTCTCTCTCTCTCTCTCTCTCTCTCTCTCTCTCTCTCTCTCTCTCTCTCTCTCTCTCTCTCTCTCTCTCTCTCCTCTCTCTCTCTCTCTCTCTCTCTCTCTCCTCTCTCTCTCTCTCTCTCTCTCTCTCTCTCTCTCTCTCCCTCTCTCTCTCTCTCTCTCTTCTCTCTCTCTCTCTCTCTACTCTCTCTCTACCTCTTCTCTTCTCTCTCCTCTCATCCCTTCTCATCTTCTCCTCATCTCTCTCTCCCTCGTAAAATCATACAGCACCATACATTATACTACCACTTCGACACTATACGTCACTCCTATAAAATACATGACACTGTCACTTAATCACCATAGAAAGTGCAAAATAAACCCAGTGAAAAGCAGGGATGAGATGGGCACAATAAGAGAACACTGTATCAACATCCGTGGCCCCAGCTTATTCAACATTTTACCAGAAGATATCAAGAAACACGCTGAACACGTCTAGAAGTCTTCAAAGAAGCTGGACGAGTATCTTCACTAGGTACCAGATCAACCAGGCTGTAATGGATATGTGGGGTTAGCGGGCCTCCAGCAGCAACAGCCTGGTTGACCAGGCAAGCACCAGACGAACCTGGCCCATGGCCGAGCTCCGAGAGTAGAAAGACTCGAAACCCTTCAAAGGTATATCAAAGATATAATCACACCAGCACCATACATCACACCAGCACCATACATCACACCAGCACCATACATCACACCAGCACCATACATCACACCAGCACCATACATCACACCAACATCATACTATCACACCAACACCATACATCAACCACACCATACATCACACCACACCATACATCACACCTGCACCATACATCACACCATCACCATACATCACACCAACACCATTACATCACACCAGCACCTACATCACACCAGCACCATTACACTCAACACACACCATACATCACACACACTACATCCACCCACATACATCACACCAGCACCATTACATCACACCAACACCATACATCACTACCAACACCATACATCAACCAGCACCATACATCACACCAATCACCATACATCACACCACACCATACATCACACACACCATAACATCACACCAACACCATACATCACACCAACACCATACATCAACAGCCCAACATCACCAACCTACATCACACCAACATCTCACCAACACCATACATCACACCACACATACATCACACCAACACCATACATCACACCAGCACCATACATCACACCACCATACATCACACCAACACCATACATCACACCAACACCATACATCACACCAACACCATACATCACACCAGCACCATACATCACACCAACACCATACATCACACCAGCACCATACATCACACCCAAAACACCATACATCACACCACACCATACATCACACCAACACCATCAACATCACACACCAGCACCATCACATCACACCATACATCATACAATCACCAACATCACACCATACATCACACCAACACCATACATCACACCACATACACACACCATACATCACACCATCACCATACATCACACCAACATCACACCAATCACACACACACCATACATCACACACCAACACCATACATCACACCAACACCATACATCACAACCATACATCCACCAACCCATCACATCCACACCATACATCACACCAACACCATACATCACACCACACCATACATCACACCAACACCATACATCACACCAACCATACATCACACCAACACCATACATCACACCAGCACCATACATCACACCACACCAACACACACCATACATCACACCAACACCATACATCCACACCAACATCACACCACACACACCAACATCCAACACACACCAAGCACCATACATCACACCAACCATCATCACACCCCATACATCACACCAACACCATACATCACACCACATCACACCAACACCATACATCACACCAACACCATACATCACACCAACACCATACATACCCAACACAACATCACACCAACACCATACATCACACCAGCACCATACATCACACCAACACCAACACACCAACCATCACACACCACACCATACATCACACCAACATCACACCAACACCATACATACACACCATACATCACCACCCAAACCACCCAACCATACATCACACCAGCACCATACATCACACCAACACACATACCACACACATACATACACCAAACATCACACCAACACCATACAATCACACCACACCATACATCACACCAACACCATACATCACACCATCACACACACACACCATACATCACACCAACACCATACATCCACACCAACACCATACATCACACCAGCACCATACATCACACCAAACATCATCACACCAACAACCCAACATACATCACACCATACACACACCAACACCATACATCACACCAACACCATACATCACACCAACACCATACACCCAACACCAAACAACCAAACATCACACCAACACCAACTACACACACCATACATCACACCAACACCATACATCACACCAGCACCATACATCACACCAACACCATACATCACACCAACACCATACATCAAAACCAACACCATACATCACACCAGCACCATACATCACACCAGCACCATACATCACACCAACACCATACATCACACCAGCACCATACATCACACCAGCACCATACATCACACCAACACCATACATCACACCATACATCACAAGATCCCCAACATACCTTTATTAATCTCCAAACCTCTCCTACACCTCTATTAAAAACATAATAACCACAATACTCCGAACGATTCTTGAATCATGCATCTCACCCATCACTTTACTCAACTATAATATACATCATTACATCACACATTATATATCATATCATCACATACATCACTACACATCATTACATCACACACACATACATCACATCCACACCTTTACATCACCATCATCATACATTAACAAACATTCACCGTATCACCCAGCACCATACTCCCAACATCATCCACCTGCTACCATCTTCACGGGAGGCTGAGACCATAATCACCCATAAGACCGGGCACATACACACCATCATCACACGGCACCAACTCCCCAGACTCAGCCACAACTACCTCTCTGATCTCCAATCCTCCGCCCCAAGGAAATGGAATGACCGTCTTGTGAGCTGTATCTCTGGTTCAGGCACCTACCCTCCCTATAAGTTATCATGTTGTCGATCATTATATTATTATTATTATTTGTAGTAATGTTATTAGCTGTAATAAAAATGTTACACTAGAAAATATTATATATTATATATATTTTTAAGTGTACCCAACGAGTACCTTTATTTAGTTGCTTGATTTATTTTTATTTTTCAAGGTTTTCGCTTATATCTTGAGAATGATTCATCCGATCAGCTTTAAATTTTGTACGATGGTGTACCGTCACTCAAGGAAAGGTTCATGCAACTACTGGCAGCTGCAGGCGCTCTCTGGTCAATGTTATCCTGACCACTCTAAGATTTGACCTACGTGCAATAATCTGAGATAGACTCTTTAGATCGGCTTCAAACTTTCAACACTGGCGTTAGGTCGTGCAACGACCGAAACGCATTTATTTTTAGTCATTTTCATTAATAAAACGTTCTAACTTTTATGGTCACAATCAGGATTGATTCCTACTGTACCTTACTGATAGACCTTAAATAGTAACAAATTACAAGGACTCCAGTGAAAATAAGCCACTTAGACTTTTTTGGGGGTTATCCTAAGTAATTTACATATAAGTTACTATGATAATTGTACTTATGTGGACCTGTACCTAAAGATTTTTTTTTTTAGATTTTGCCACCGAAGTGGCTAGTTTATTGTGCACCCCATATCCATCCTGTGGACGGTAGCGCGAGAGCATATGGATACACAAAAGCCCTAGGAACTAGGCCCCAAACGGTTAACAGGAATACATATGGATTTATATCTACATATCTATAGTTCACTTATCTGTTACAAGCAAATTTAGGAAATTTGCTTAGTATATCTGGTATCTTATTTTCATTAATAAGATATCTTGACATGTCACATAGGTTATTATACTGTCTGTCTCTGTATTCCTCAATAAGTGGACAATTAAGCACATAGTGTTCAAGAGAGTGACCATATGCCTGATCACATAATTTACATTTAGTTTGATCATCATCTGTGTGTCTCCCAAACTGCCAGAAGTACTTGTAACCATGCCTAAGCCTGGCCACTACAACATCAGTCAGTCTGTTCACATTGCAAGTTGCTCCATAAACATACTTATCTACGTTCATGTTATCATAGTGGGTTATAGATCTACTCAGGCTTCTAACTGCATTCCTATAACAATCATTTTCATTATTTACTTCTCTCCTAATATTATTCCTAATGCTAGACACAGTTATACCAAAGTTATATTCTACATTCTCCTTCTGGGTACTCTTCTTGGCTAACATATCAACTTTATCATGAAGGAGTAATCCAATATGTGATGGGATCCATAGCAATTGTACATTAATTCCTTTGTCCCTAATTTTTGAGTATCTATACCTGGCTTCCCCAATGAGCATGTTGTTGGAGTCATTATATGAGTCAAGAGCCTTCAATGATGACATAGAATCAGTAATGATGATAGAGTCAAGCTCAGTGTCATAGGTTAGCTTTAGCGCCATTAGGATTGCAAACAATTCAGTTTGCAGTGTAGACGCCCAGTTGTTAATTCTTATTAACTTACTAACTTACTGAATTTAAGTCATTTGTTTTGGTCTTGTCGCCAGCGGGCGCCGCAAGAGGTCCGCCTCGACTGCCGTTGGAGTAGCACCTCAGGACGGAGGACAAGGAGAGTACGAGTACGACATCGGAGATCTCATTTCCGACCTCTCGAGCGCCCTCAATGTTCAAGCCCTGAAGGAAGACCGCAGTCTAGAGGAGACCAACTACCCCATGGAGGAGGCCAACCTGGAGGACGAGCTCAGGGAGGACAGGAAAGCTGGCAGGATGAAAGAAGGTCTTGTGCATGCCGGCTTCAGGGAAACCCCACCCACTATTCTCTTTGGCATGAGAGGCGTTCCTCGCCACAGGTTGATCTAGGTCAGTGTTTCTTATACAATGAATCTCTCTGTTTCGTCGCCCTATCATCATAGTTTCCTTCGCCATCCTCACCCCTCAAGGGAGGTTCCTTGACGCTGGTGAGGGGCTCTTGTTCTAGGGAATTGGGTCTGTGCTCCAGTTCCCTGAATTGAGCCTGAATGCCTTCCATCCCCCCCCCCACTTGCTCTGTATAAACCTATGGGTTTAGCGCTCCCCCATGATTATAATAAAAATTCACCATCCTCATCGTCTCGTCACCATCCTTTCCCTGTCTTCCATAATATTTAAAGGGGTGGACGGGGTAAGCCAGTGGAAGGCCTCGGTCAAATGACCAAAAGCTCCAGTGGCTGGATCATCATATGACTAAGACACGCATCATGTAATACTTCTGTTTCCTGGCAAATGTTACCTAACCTAAACCTTGCCCTGTTTCCCTTACCATCTTTTCATAACTTATTAGACTCCCTCACCATCCACATCTAGAGTTAATGGTACGTTCTAATATGAAAAGTCTCACGTATTTCGAGAGAAATAGTATTGGACTCAAAGGTCAAAATCTGATTGCTTCTATTATGTGTACATTAACGTTCAAATTCTACTTTACAGGTGCTGAGAGGCGCATCAAACACCCGCAAGATCCGCCTAAGTTTGAGTTTATTTGAGCTCGTCATGTGCTGTTCTAACTTTTATTGAGTTGAGCGTTAACACGTCGGTCGCAGTGCAGGGAGACGCAACCACCAGCTTCCTCGTGGGATGAACGAGATGATGAAGTGCAGACTCGTTCATCTCCTTAGCATGACTTCCTGACCGGCTCTAGTAGCATCTGCTGATACAACTACTAAACTAGGCCATTGAAAGACACTTTTGACAGGTAGTGCCTTTATTTTACGAAGTTACTCTCACAGTGGTACTTACTAAAGTGGTACTTGATAAAGTTGCACTTGATGAAGCTCCACTGAGTGAACTGTAAAGTAAAGATTTTTTTTTTTACCCTCCTGCTTAAGTGTCTCTGACTTAGCACTTTGTGGCTTGTGACATCACCCACCAAGCCCTGAGCCACTCTCCAGGGAACAATAACCCCATGAATAGTGCCACCATTGACCTAGTGATTACGTCTTCGAGTAACAAGAGAGGTGAAACAAATCATTGAAAAAGATGCCCTTTCTCCGCTCACTTGCTTCCAAGTCTATGTATATATGTATGTCAAATTCACGAGTTTATTTCAGCCAATATCAAAGATTTATACGTAGATAGGAAACAATGAAAAAAAAATGTGTCGGGAGAGGTTGGTTACTGTCCCATCTTAGTGGAGGTAATATGGAAATTTAACGAGGGGGTTAAATTATTTTTTTTTTTTTTTTTAACTCTTTTTGAAGTCTTCATTAAATGATCTGCTATACTGGCTTCATTTTCTGAAGATTCTCTTGACTAGCTTTCGCCAAAAAAAAAAAAAAAAAAAATATATATACGTTGATTTGTATTAGATTCTTCATCTGTATTAGCCATTGTAAGACGTATGTTTGACCAGCCAACATATATTGACTAACACATCTGTTTTTCCTAAGTGGCATGACCTTTTATTATTCCCAATAAGATTTTTACCATATTTTCCTGGTTCATATTATCATAATCATAACTAAGAGCTGACCCCACAAGGGTCATACGGGGCTGATCCTAGTTCATGACAGGGTATATACACTGTGACTAGTTAATGGACCAAGTTGGACCGAAACGTCGTCAAGAGTTTCAGTCTGCCATGTACAAGTTATTTGTGCACTTGTCAGGGACGTGGTTCGAGTCTTCCCTCTGATGAATTGGGGGTTTCAAAATATTGTTTAAATAATTCCGTTATTACATTAAATATTGAAGAAAAAGTATTTAAAACTGTAAAAGATGCATAAATCTGTCTGTTTGAAGAGGAGGCTGGTGATACAGATTAAATATAAGGGTTTTTCTCCCTTGAATTGAGAGCACTTCACCAGTATCATGGAGCCCCCCGTCTTGAGTGGGGGGCTATACAATGCCGGGAATGTAATTTGATCCAAGGAAGTGGAGAATAGCTACATTTCCTTGTATCAAGAGTCCTTCGCTGGCACCAAGAAATTTCCCAGGAGTGTAAGAGAGTATTGTGGCACTGTGCCCGGGTAATAACTCATATACCCATACCTTGTATGACTCACAAGTCATACTGGGTATGGGTATGTTTCACAAATGATTTGTTGGAAATTGAAATTGCTACATTATTATTATCAAATGTAAGCGCTAAACCCACCAGGGTCACACAACATTGAAATTAGTACAATAGGGTAAGGCTGATTAGTATGGAAATTTAAATGACTTCAGATCAGGTGATACGAACCTATCATCAGCCTGAAGATGCTCATGGGGAGTGCTAAACCCATAGGGGATCATACACCACCTGCGAGAATGGGAGTCAATCAGATGTGATCTAAGGAAGGAGAGAAGATCCAATTCCTTGTATTAGGAGTCTCTAATTAATATCAAGGAACCTCCACGAGGGGTAATAATTATTATTATAATCAAAACTAAGCACTAAACCCACAAGGGCGAGGGGTACCAAGATAACATTTAAATCAGGAAATTATATTCATGAGAAGCACTAAACCTGTAGGAGTCAAACAGCATCAAGGGAAATGGAAGGCATTAAGATTCGACTCAAAGGAAGAGCAGCTCCAATACCTTGAATCAAGAGTCCCTTACCAGTATTAATAAACCTCCTTAAGGATTATCAGGAGTAACCTCCACACTTGTAGGTGTGGTTACGAGAGGCGGTTTCAATCCAAGGAAGCGGAGGGTAAGTCCCGATCCTCATCCTTTCCAGATGACACAACATGTGTGAGGATGTGTAACTTATGAGGGTCAAATATATTACACCTGAAGAATGGAAGGTACTTAGGTTGGACCTGAGGAATGGGAGGTTAGCTCTGATTCCTTGAGCCAAGAGCTCTTCAACAGCAGTTATCAGGGACAATGACCATGCGTATTTTGATTTTTGCTACTCGCAGATGGAATCTTAGTCACATTCATGTTACAGAGATTTTGAGCTATCAAAATTATAAAATGTGAAGTAACCACTGTAGTTTCCAATTATTATTATAATAAAAAAGAAGCGCTAAGCCACAAGGGCTATACAGCTGTAGTTTCCAATGAATTTGATTTTACAGTAGTCCCCCCCCCTATCTGCGGGGATACGTTCCAAGACCTACTGTAGATACCCGAAACTGGATAGTAGCGAACTTATAAGTCGTTTTTCATTTACATACTTACCTATGATAGTTTAATTGATAAATTATACACCAAGTCAAGAATTAGCGCTTCATTCATGTAGGTTCGCTGGTACTTCCGGCCCCGTTACCACTTTTTCACCGTTAGTTAGTTTAATATGTTTATTATGCACCCCATACCCATCTTTTTCACCGACGGGAAGCATTGACAGCATTACTTCTTTGCGCTTGGGGGGCAATTATGCAAAATTAAGGCTTATTTTTGGGATACGGTAAACTGTGGATAAATGAAGCCACAGAAACCAAATCCAAGGATACGGGGGCTCTACTGTATTAGGTTAAACCTGTACGAGTCTACTTTAAGTCCTGATCATTGATGATAAATTAGACACATGTGCAACTCTTGGGTATCTTTATTGAGGAAACGTTTCGCCACACAGTGGCTTCATCAGTCCATACAAAGGAGAATCTTGAATAGAATACGGCATACGTGCCGTACGTACGTATGCCGTATTCTATTCAAGATTGATGGACTGACCACATCGACTCAAGGTTGAGGGACCGATTACCTCATTCTCCTCCTGTTCTTCAAGATTCTCCTTTGTATGGACTGATGAAGCCACTGTGTGGCGAAACGTTTCCTCAATAAAGATACCCAAGAGTTGCACATGTCTCTAATTTATCAACATGTCGGTTATCTGAACCATTCATCTACAAACCTGATCATCATTATTTCAAGTGTTATATTCATTTGGATTTACGTATTTAAAAGTCAATTTGCAGTTTAAGACTTAAGACCTAACTATTTGGAATGCTTTTTTTTGTGATCTTCACTCGTTATGAAGGCAAAATGCATTAAGGCATTTGTAAATAACATACTACTATACATGAACTGGGTAGTTCGTAAGCCATGGATATGGTTGTTTTACTAGGAAACAGAAATGATGCACCTGGTGAATGATGGATATGGTGTACTAAGTGGTTTTGTCCACTAAGATGTGTAAGGCTACTAGGTAGTTGTTAACAATGAATATGATAAATTGGTAGTTAAAATATGATGAAAATTGCATACCAAGTTGTTTGGAAGTTATATATTATATATTATTATTATAAAGGGGGAAGCGCTAAACCCGGAGGATTATACAGCGCCTGGGGGGGATGTGGAAGGCATTCAGGCTTAATTCGGGGAACTGGAGCACAGATCCAATTCCCTAAATCAAGAGCCCCTCACCAACATCAAGGAACCTTCCTTGAGGGGTGGAAGTTATATAGTATAAGGCTACTAGGTATTTGTGAATGATGGATATAAGTGTAACGGTAATTCATGATTATTATTATAATCAAGGGGGAAGCGCTAAACCCGGAGGATTATACAGCGCCTGGGGGGGGGGGATGTGGAAGGCATTCAGGCTTAATTCGGGGAACTGGAGCTCAGATCCAATTCCCTAAATCAAGAGCCCCTCACCAACATCAAGGAACCTTCCTTGAGGGGACGGTAATTCATGAGCTATGATGAATATGTACTAGGTAGGCTGCACCGCACACTGCCCTCAAAAACATCTCTACTGCCCCAGCCTCCTCGCTGCAACATTCAAACCCCATGCTTCACACTCGTATAACATTGTTGGTACCACTATACTTTTGATACATTCCCTTCATTGCCTCCGTGGATAAAGTTCTTAGTTTTCACAGATGCCTCAATGCACCACCCACCTTTTTCCTTTTATCAATTCTGTGGTTCACCATTCCTTGTAGAAGCATCCACCGACAAGTCCACACCCAAATATCTAACATTTACTTCCTCCATACTCACTCCCTCCCTCTAATCTGATATCCAATCTCTCAATAATTATTATAATCATATTATTATTATTATAATCAAAAAGAAGCGCTAAGCCACAAGGACTATACAGCGCTGCAGGGCAGGAAGGAAGCGAGGGCATCAGGTGGCAAAAGGGAGATGGATGAGTAATAGGTTACGGATAACAGCGGGGCAGTGGATGGTGAAAGGGTAAAGGGCAGCAAGAGACTGAACTAGAAAGGGCTGAGGGGAGTGCGAAAAGTATCATCAGAGTTTGTGGAGTAAATCAGTCGTTGTCAAGAAGTCAATGAGAGAGTCAGGATTAAAGGAGGGTCCATCAGCAAGAAGGGAAGGTAAAGAGAGAGTAGTAGAACGAAGACGACGTTGGAGGTAAATTCTGCGTGCTCGTTGATAGAGAGGGCAGTCTAACAGAATGTGGCTAATCGATACTGGAACTTGACACTGCTCACAGAGAGGAACAGGGTGCCTCTCCATGAGATACCCATGAGTAAGACGAGTGTGACCAATGCGAAGGCGGGAGAGAGTGGTCTCCCAACCTCGGCACTGATGACAAGAAGACGGCCAGTAACCTATGCTCGGTTTAATAGAATGAAGTTTGTTACCGAGCAGAGTTGACCAACATTGTTGCCAACGGGTGCGAAGGTGGGTAGCTATTGCAGCAAAATAGTCCAGAAATGGAACACCTCGATAGGAAATGGTAGGTCATGTACTGCTGACCGCGCAGCAGTGTCTGCCTGTTCATTGCCCTGTACGTCGACATGACCAGGGACCCAACAAAAAACAATATCTTTATGTTTGGTAGAGATACGGCGTAGCCAAAGTTGGATACGGAGAACTAGGGGATGAGATGTATCAAATTTTCGTATAGCCTGTAGAGCACTAAGGGAGTCTGAGACTACTACAAATGATGACACAGGCATAGATGCGATACGAATAGGGAAGCGCTAAACCTGTAGGATTATACAGCGCCTGTGGGGAGCAGGGGATGGAAGGTATTCAGGCTTAATTCAGGGAACTGGAGCACAGATCCAATTCCCTAGATCAAGAGCCCTTAACCAGCATCAAGGAACCTCCCTTGAGGGGCTCAATAATTATATTTTTGATACTCTTATCACCCTGTTCTTTCCTATACTCACTTAATTTTCCTTTACATACCTTCCCCAATTTGTTTACCAACCTTCGTAACTTTTCTTCAGAATCTTCCAAAAGAATCATTGGCAAAACGCAACCGTGACAGCTCTCACTCCTTACCAGATTCACCATCTTTCAATTCCACACCTCTCCTTAACAGCCTAATGTTCACTACTTTTACAATACTATTTTTATATGCTAAACAACCTTTGTGACATCACACACAGGTAGTTGCAAGCAGAACACAGTGCACTTATGAATTATGGTTAGAATGTGTTGGACAGGACCTACTGTAATATGAGCAAGAACACAAATGTGTAATGACCAACAAACCAGAGTTAATAAATGAATATCTAACTTTAAATGAAAGAAAATGCAGAATGATGAACAATGAGAAAAGTGTCAAGACAGATTACTACATATAATCATGGGGAAATGCTGAACCTATAAGGGTCATAAAGCACCTGGGGAATGGGAGAAAATCAGGTTTGTTCCATGGAAATAGAGGAGCATTCAATTTCCTTGGAATACCAGCCTTAAGGCATCCCTTTGAAGAGTTAAAACATGTGATCCTTATTACATTCATGGAGAGTGCTAAATTCCTAGGGATCATACAGCATCTGGGGGAATGGTAGCCATTCAGGTCTGATCCTAGTAAGGGGAGCACAGGTCTGCTTCCTTGGATCAAAATCCCCTCACTGGATTCTAGGAACCTACCTTCAGGGGTTAAAACAAAAGAAAATACAGAAGTATACCAAGGCCATATCAAACAACACTAAGACATATTTATCAGAACAAGTTTTGGTCCTGGGACCTTGATCACTTCCCAGGAACAAAACGTTTTCTAATAAATACATATGCCCTAGTGTTTGCTTATGTGTCTTTGTAAACCAATTTGTCGGTATCAATTACCATGAAACAGAGCTATGTGATGGACTCCTCCATTAAATGTACTGTACTGTGTTGTCTTACTTTGTCTTCCATTTACTTACCATTATACGAGAAAAAGATTAATCTCTCGCCCATAATGGTAATAATATACTAACATATCAGTAAGGTTATTTTTATATAGCCAGACTTGAGTACTGGAAATGGGAAATACAATGCCTGCACTTGAAAGGAGGGGTTTTGAGATATTGGCAGTTTGGTGGGATATGTTATATATCTTCATATATGCTTCTAAACTGTTGTATCTGGGTACCTTTGCAAAAAGTGGTTATGTATGAGTGAGGTGAAAGTGTTGAATGATGATGAAAGCATTTTCTTTTTGGGGATTTTCTTTCTTTTTGGGTCACCCTGCCTCAGTGGGAGACGGCCGACTTGTTGGAAAAAAAAAATCAGTAAGGAATCAATGGATAATAAATATGTATTATTTAATGCTAAAAATCTCTTCACTTACTATTCCAAGCATAGATTACATAGGTCAACTTTTGAAGAACATTTTTTATTCAATATGACAAAACTTTCTCAAAATTTTAATTAAAACAACTTTATTACAAGTTCTCAATGTAATTGGGTAACAGAAGTAAGCACTGCATGAATTTCAAGCAATCATTTTCCTCACAAAACTGAATCATCTACTATATTACCATCTCCAATATTTACTCTGATAAATTACTTGCCAATTTATAGTACAAATGATATTATTACCAATTAAGAAAACTTTCTTGATCACCAATTAGAACACAAAATCATTAATGTGACACATTTTCAAGCCAATGAAAATTTAATATGACAATTCCCACAATAAAATTTGTTTATTCAATCCAACTGATATTTAAGCTAAACTTGTAAACAAATAAGAACTATAAGCATTACAAAGGATATCAAAGGACAATACTAATAACCTGAATAATAAATAACATTCTTTCAAGCTTAAAAGTTAAATTTAGATGCTTTATTCACAGGGGCATTTTAAATCATGCATTACTGAGGCAGTACAAGCCAGGAAATACTTTCCTGTCAAACATAATGATGTGGATGAAAAGACATAAAACAACATCAGCCTTTATTAAATAAGATGAATAAGATACATGCAACACTTAGCCATTTTTACCGAAGAGATGTTTTGCAAGCAAGTGCTTTTAGCAATTCAATACAGAGAAGGCCATTGGTTTTCAAAATATCACCATAATAAAGATACAAGGTGTTGCAAGTGTGTCTTGTTCATCTACTTGTTTTGTAAATTAATACAGCATATATTTGATTACTGTATAATGCTGGTTCTCAAGGTACGTCTTTCAAGTCATACAGAAAACACATGAACAACGTCTTGATAAAGCTCCCCTTGAGCACAATATCATTATAAACTATGGAACGGGCAGGGGTTGAACTCACGGCAAGCGAGTCCTAAAACACCAGGCCAGTGAATAAGCCACTCAGCCAGCTTGCCATGGGTTCAATACCCACCCGTTCTGTGGATTGTTTGCAATTGTGTTATTACGATTTTGTGAGTCACAGTCATTATATTTACTCAGTTTTGTGTCTTTTCATCCAGCTGTTGGCTCTCTGCTTCTCTCTCCACAATAACAATGTCTTCAAATGCTTAGAAGCTTACCTGGACAAATTACTTTCAGAATAAAATAATGTGCCTTATGCTGCAACTTGTCAGTTAAAAATAGTGAATTGGACTAGCAAATAATGACTTAAAAGGTTCATGTTGCAACTTGCTTTAATACTATAACCACCATATTTAGGCCAGCTGCTACTCTAAGTAAGAGTTATCATCAAAATTGTCAATGACATTGTTTAAAACTAGATACTCTAATTATCATAATTTTTTAAAATTGCTTATACCGTAGAGTGAGGGTTAATTGAACCACCGCCCCCCAAAAATGTTCATTATCCGAGCAGGTTCCAAAATGTGTGTAGTACTTATAAAACATACATGTATGGAATTTAGCAGTCAAGATGTAGTTCATATTTTGGAAACTCCTCAAATACTGGGCACTCTTAGGCAGTGGAGCAGTTACCCCTTCACAAGGCATACTTGCCCCATTGTACGGAAACAATAATTGCTATGTTTCAAGTGCTGACTAAATAAAAAATTTATTCAATTTTTCAATCGTTCGAATTCTGTTCATGGGAAAACAAATCTGAAGCTCAAGATGTTTCCACATGAAGGCATCTGTAACAACCACCATGAGGTCAGTCTCTTAAGAGCACAATATACAGAAATCTCACACAACCTAAAAATTAAGTAACTTTCACATTCCACATCATGTACACACTGGTCTTCCATCAAAATACAATAATAGGTTCTGCTTTAGCTTTAAAAAATTCTCAATGCAGAAGGACAATTGAGCAACTAATATGATGGTGTTACAAGTAAAGTGATTACTAAGATACAGCCACCTAAATATTATAACCTTATGTTTTGCAGTCTTCAACTGGTTGCACATTTGACCCCAGTTAACACAAAAAAATTTTAGTGTAAATATGCAATTTAAAAAACTATACACAGTACAGTATACTTATTATAAAAAAAAAAAGAAATGTTTTAAAGAATAAAAAACATTCATTTTGCAATAGCCCTGGACCTTGAGTAAAGACCAGAGTATAAGATCTTTTGGCAGTAAATCAGTGTTATGGTTAAAACCTGACAAGTGGCATAGGAATGCCATCAGGGTTCATAAAGCAATGTATTAAAAACTGACACACCTGAATGCCATACAGTCATGAGAGCAATTAATTAAAACTGACATCCAGTAACTCTCACTTATTATATTATTATAATCAAAATGCTAATCTGAGGCATTTTTGTAATCTCTCCTTTAAAAAATATTCAAACTCCTGCATCAGTCTCAACCACTTCCTACAAATGGGATAAATCTTGCATTTTTCTGTACAGTCCTCAAAACTTTGGGTAAAGATATGAAGTTGGTGTAATAAAGACTAACTTGGGAACATGAAGATGCAAAAAGCTCATTTTCATTTCCATCTTTTTTCCGAGAAAAACTGTGGAACTCCAACGTTCTTAGATTGTTTTTGCCAAGGTAATAACACTGCTCTCTAGGATAAATGTTCCTTTCCTACAATTTTCTGTAATGTTAAGCCAAATCCTTTGTGACACAAAACAAATATAAAAATTCTTAATAGATTTTAGTTGTCATTGTCACTATATGCTAAGCAAGAATACAGCAACTGTATATTGTATGCAGTTTTGTACATCTGAATACCCTTGACCTTCATACAGTAAACAGCATGAACTTGTATGCAGAATAATGTACAATGTGTAATATTCGATTCCTTAATGGCACAGGAAATTTTGTATGGGATAAGATCAAATATTTCTTTTATTATATTACCACTTCAAAGTGCTGAATTAAGTGGTAAATATATTTCCAATCATGAATGATTGTTTCCATATGATCCCCTAAGTTTTGATGCATTCATATCGCAGACTACAGCTTACCTACCTAAAGAAAAAATGCTAAGCTTTCAGTCATTTAAATAATTAACCTCAAGGAAGCTGAAATGAAACAAAAGCAAAAAATTTTGCTGTATTTGGTTTCTAGTGAAATTTTAATGGCTAATATGCAATCTATGTCACTTTCTGGACACCTGGAATATCCTTAAGGAAAAGGTGGTGATACAAGGAAATATTCTGATTGTTACAGGGTCCATGAAGATGATTTTGAAACTCTCTCAGCAAGTTCTCTATCTTCACAAAATTCTTTGCCATGATGTGACAAAACGCAACCTGATGGCAATTCAAAATGTCATTTTAAAGTGGCATCAATTTTAGACATTTTAGCATTATTTTCAAGTTGGCTCACAAATCCTTCATTTTAGTCAACAATCTTCATCTTGAACATTTTTTAAAGTGCTTCAGTCAACCTAATTCTGACCATTTAGCAGACAGTATTTTTCAACAAGACTGTATAATATTAATTTGTGAATCTCCTAATCATGTCCTACATGATTCTGGAGCTAAATTTTGATGGAATAGAAAAAATCCCATGCAATCAAACTGTTCTCCAATAACTGCTGTACTCAACTTCAGTGATCAAACATCTGAAAGTTAAATTACATTTTCATTTCAGTGGTAATAGTTCAGAGAAACTTCCACTTTTACCATAGCATTTCCATCTTTAAAATCCATCATCAATTTCATATTTTGTACAAACTCGGATAGTCTGAATCTCTAAGACTAGATGAAACAGGATCTTTTGCAAGCATCTCTCTAAATTCTGAGATATCAATTGCAATCAATATTACTGTCATAGAATTTTAAATACTGTATACAATATTTTTCAAGTTGCAGCTTCCTTTGTCTTATTTCTCTCATGAATAAATGTCGACAAACTATCTTGTAGTATATCTATAGGGAAATAGAGAAGAATCCTTCCTCCGTAAGCCATGCACATCATAAGGGGCGACTAAAATGCCGGGAGCAAGGGGGTAGTAACCCTTTCTCTATAAATTACTAAGCGTAAAAAGAAAATTTACGTTTCTTCTTTTTTGGGTCACACTGCCTTGGTGGGAGATGGCTGCTGTGTTTAAAAAAAAAAAAATATATAATTTACAAGGCACTGTACCTTACATAAAGCAGTTTTTGCAAGCAAGTGAACCCAATGAATGCTCAAGGATATAGCCAAAAGTGTCAAGCTCATGGCCCTCTATATCCATCTGTTAAATATCTGCTGGTAAGCAGAAATAACTTCTGAACTCTTCCTCATGAGTACAGCATTAGTGTCTGAATAACTCTTCATGGCATTTATCTGCCTGTATTATACAGGTCAGCGCAAGATCCCATGGTGCATCCACAGCGATCCTTCTCTTCCTCACAGATCCACAGGAAATTCTAATGGCTGTGGAAATTACAACTTTTAATTGGGAGATACTCTTTGACGACACATACAGAACCGTCCATTAATCCTTAAACTGCCCAAACGCAGATATACATTGACGTGCAGCAGGCTCCGAACGTAGATCTATGTTTTTTTTTTTTGGAAGGCTTTCAAATGGGGAAAATCAAGGTCAGAGCGCTACGCACGCGAACGTAGATCTACGTTTGGACAGTTGAAGGGTTAACATCGCTTTGAAAAGATTTACTTTTTATGGAAGCTGAAGGTATCTTTATCAGCCAAAAGAGTAAAGTTTTTAAGTAGATTTCAATGAATATTCTAACAAACTTGACCACTCTTCTTGTCAAATCCTTGTTTCTTCCAAATATGTGAGAAGAATGCATCACAATAAACATTTTCTCCTTTTGATGATGATGTGGATGCCATAATTAACTATCAATCACCTGAGGACAAATAAATAATAAAGTTACCCAACAGTTTTGAAATGAATTTTAAAAAATCTTGGGAAAAAAAAAAAAAGAAAATCAAGCTTATTATAATTTATGTATGGTTTTCAACATGTAGGCCATGTCCCACCGATGCAGGGTGACCCAAAAAAGAAAGAAACACTTTCAATATCATTCAACACTTTCACCATCATTTACATATAATCACTGTTTTTGCAGAGGCCCTCAGATATGACAGTTTAGATGTCCCTCCAAACGGCAAATATCCCATATCGCTCCTTTAAAGTGCATGCATTTACTTTCCACCTCCAGGACTCAAGTCTAGCTAACCAGTTTCCCTGAATCCCTCCACAAAATATTATCCTGATCACACCTCACAGCTCGTCATTCCCAAAAACCATTCGTCTCCAGTCACTCCTATCCAACATGCTCACACATACTTGCTAAATGTCCAAGCCCCTTGTACACAAAACCACTTTTACCCCCTTCCTCCATCCTTTCCTAGGATGACTCCTATCCCTCCTTCCCTCCACTACAGATTTATACACCCTCCAAGTCATCCTATTTTGCTCCATCCTCTCGAAATGACCAAACCACCTCAACAACCCCTCTTCAGCCCTCTGACTAAAACTTTTGTATAAAATTATTTAGATGCTTTTATTTGTACCTGAAGTTGGTTTCCAAAACTATGATTGTTCATGGAAAGTGCTACACCCAACAGCTATAGAAGCACTACCGGTTTCCAAAAAATCTTATATTAAAAACATTTATCTTCAGCTGCTTCAGGAATTAAATATACTGAAGGAGGACCCCTTTTATAGAGGGCTCTATAACTGACTTGCATCCCCTTCCTGGTGATTTTATATTAGTTAGTATGTTATGTACAAAGTACAATCCATCAAAATATTTAAAAAAATGCAAAAAATTTTGCACTTAGTTTTGTCACGTTCAATGCCTCAGCCTACAGCAAATGCACTGAAAATGTTTCAATAAATAAAAATGGCCAGAGCAAAAAAAATAAAAAGAATACAAAATATAAAATTATAGGTATGTTTATGCTTGTACTGTACATAGGCGATGCACGGCAGGAAAGAATAAGTGCCAAAATCACACAACGGAGAAAACCGAGGACATGGAAGAGATCAGAGCTATGAAGCTTGAGTTACCATAATTTGTCAAGGGGTTCTGAGCCTAACTTACAGATATAGAAGACAAACACAAACAGATGACATAATAATGAATCATTTCCTTTACTAACCAGGATTTTGGCTGTGGTGGCACTTATTCCTTGTTGCCTATTAAGACCTCATTTGGAGGTACAATGAAGATAAGGCCACTGATAAAAGCACAGTGGTATAAGAGAGCCAATAGGAAACCCTAAGGTATCTCCAAAAATATATGAAATCTCAAGAACTAGCATTAAAAAAAGTAAAAAAAAAATCTTAGATTGGAATAAGCTATACATACCTGTATTTGGAATTACTGTATGAGGAAGCCAAAGATTTTAAACAAATAAAAAATTAGCAGCTCATGTAATGACCTTGACATGAGTTGACTTATACAAGTTGCAGTCATGTTGCACACTCAAGGTCAAGGATTAAAATTATTCATAAAACACTATGTAAACATATTTTAAGATAAATTTTTATGAATAAATTTTTTTGGTAACATATAAATTATCTTTCTAGGTTAATTAGGTTTTTCCTGTCAGAGGGTCATATCACAAGAAACTACCAAACTCAGGACACTAATTCGGGTTACACATTTACCTTATTGAGCAAAAAATATCTGCAAATGTAGAAAAAATTTACAATAGCGATGTCAGACCAGTGTGTACACTTGAGGTCACATGTCATTTATATCACATCTTAAATCACCAAAAGTCACTGTTTCCAAGTAGAACATGTAAGGTTACACTTCATTCACATGATTTTCAGTTCGTGGCCTTCGCCTCATTGAAAGGCTGTTGTGTCTTCTGAAGGGTTTCTTCTCTCGCCAAAACTCCTTCCGCGCTGAACTAGAGCGAAGGTCAAAGATATGCTTACACTTGTCCAAAATTTCCTGACCCATTTTTGCCTCGCACTCAAACACATAATCTTTAAACCGGTTCTCCCCTTGGCATGTTATTTGGATCTCCATTTTGCCTATTTAAAAAAAAGAAAAACAATAATTAAATGTTATTCACTGAAAACTGCTTGGAAATTTAGTTCTTTCATACCTCTCTTGTAAGGTGTGGTTGAAGAATCCAGTATTAAATACAGGCAGGCCTCCATTTACAGCACTTCACTTTACAATGTATTGCTAATGCAGTGGTTTTCAATGATACCCAGTCTTCATTTATTCAGACTGCCTACAATATATTCACGACTCACTATAAACTAAGGACAAAACTATTTTAAGTAATGTGTGTACTGTATATGTATTTTTAGGTCTAGCTTTATTGCTCACTTAATATATGATAGTGTAAACACATTACCAGGCTTTTATATTAAAAAAAAAAAAAGAGGTTATGTTTCACTTTACAGTTGAAGCCTGGAACCTAACCTGCCGTGTAAGTGGGGGCCTCTTGTATACATAGAAAACTATCCATTTTTGAGATGTCTATCCAATTCACATTAGAAATTCAGTGGTCTATAAAATAACTAATTCTGACTTGTGGAATGTTATTCCAACAGCATCTTTCACAGGAATTTACTAACTCTAAACATCTTTTATATAAAATGCATATGGATTACAAATATTTATTTAAATAAGAGTTTTACATCTTCCTATTTCTGAACTCGCATATATGTATGCACCAATATGTGGTTGCAGGGGTCAAGTCTTATCCCCTGGCCACACCTCTCAATGTGCCACTTGCCAGATCACTCTCCTAGCCTTGGGGGCCGTATCTACCTATTCTTAAAACTATGCAAAGAGTCTGTCTCCACCACTTCTTCATTGAGATCATTCCACTTCCTGATCAACCTGAGACTAAGGAAATATTTCCTTACATCCCTGCGATTCACAAGAAAATACTGTACAGATGCTCCTCACTTTACGATGGTGCAATTACGAGCACATTCTGTACTGTATAGTACTGTACATTTGATAGGATAAACTTGTGCTCATTTATTTACTTTTCAATACTGGTATTTAGTTAGCTACAATAATTATTTACTTATTCAGCGACAGTAGTTATTTATTTATTTATTTATTTAATATTCGATTTACGATATTTTAAACCTACAGTGGGCTCACTGGAACAAAACCCCATTGTAAGTCGAGGAACACCTGTATTGCAAATAAAGTTTATTTTTGTTTGAAGTCTAGCTGGCCAGACCACTTAACACTAGTAACCACCTTACCTTTCTTCTCTGCCTTCCGACTACAGTCCACCACTAGTTCCATGTTGTAGGTCACGGGGTGCGGGGAGCGCAAGGGCAAAAATGCTCCCCCAACCTTCTGCTGCAGTGGGTGGATCTCCAATTTTTCTCCGGAAATTCCTGAAATTTTCATATACTGCAGTAAGGAAGCTTTTAACCCCAATAGTTATAAGAAACCTTTTTAAGTCTTCAAGAGCAGAGATAAAAAAAATTCATGAAAGTTGTATTAAAAACGATCAATACCTTTTTCATTCATTAGTATTCAGCTCTTATCAAGTGACAAGTAAGACACATGCACAACAGTTAGGTACCTTTACTTCAAATTGTCTCACCTACACAATAGGCTTGCATATCAACTTGTTGGTATTGTATACCGTCATCATCTTCACTCTACCAAGTGACAAAATATATTAAAGCAAAAATTTAATTAAGAATAAAACATACCAAGACATGCTTCACATTTTCCAAACTTGAGAAGCCACATAACTTTATATGACCTGTAAAGGGTTGCTTCCACAGTTGACATATTGTTAAAGTCTGGTGGAGTGTCAATTCTTTTACCTGAAAGATAATAAAAAAAAGTGATGCAAAGATTATCATTCAATCTTGGTAAGGAATACAGGTACAATGAATAATCCTATATTAAAACAAAGGTTAAATTTTAAGCTAAATTCCTAAACATCTCCAAAACAAACTTAAAGAATTCAAGTTTAATTAATTTCTTTTATATCTAAACCTTTGCTGATAGCCTCATCATAGAATTTTTCCCAGAAAAAGGTAAAAACCTTCAGCAGGAAATTGAAACAATACTTGCTGAAAGTGTCTGATCAACCAGACTGTGATGGCTATGTAGAGTGAAATAATGAACTAGACTGCATGAGCTGTATATAAAAATTCTCAATGTTACGTACTGTTGTCTCGTACTACAGCAAACTCAGTGCAGTTTATATCGGCTAAAGTTTTCTCCAGATCCAATGCAATGCCAGGTTTATCTTCTTTTTCTAAGTGATAATCCAAGCCAGTATCTGTAAAAACAAGACCTTCTTAAAGTTTGGAGATGAGATATCAAACAAAAATTATTGCTATTTCTTTGCCGAACTTCAAATTAAACCACGGAACACGTGGGGTTTCAACCCATGGTGAGCAAGTCGTTATTAAATCAAACACGGTATTCTCATGGAACTAGTCTATTTTAAGGAATGAAAAATCCTACCCAGATATTCCATTACATTCAAGTGTTGAGTTTTTTTTAGGAATATGTAAATTATGTCAAAATCTGCAAAGACTGACTTTTCTATTTGGGGAGTATTATCCATTGTGCACTCTAAAAACACGAAGGTTTGTTAAGGATGAGAAACATCCAGAGCCAGTATATGCAAGCAAAGAAGAATATTAGAAAAATTCAAGGGCAGAATAAAAGCCAAGTGAAAAAATATGGGGCATTAATTGTAAGAGCAAAGTGAGGGGTAGAGAGAACAGAGGCAATGATCTTGAGGCACTGCAGTCAGTGTGTGGACAGTGTAGTTAAAGAAAGAGATGATCACAAAGTATTAGATACCCCAACTTTACACAAGAATTGTCCTAATTGCTTAACTTAATGTCTGGAAAAAAACATATAATAAAAAAGCATGCACTCATCATTACCAAATACAGAATAATACAATTCCTTGATAAAGAATATGCTTATGTTGAGAACATTTCAACTTACCGATTATTTTAACCATGTCTTTTCTCTTGGTTATCGTCCTATTGAGAATTTCTTTCAATGTAATATCATAATTCTCAACAATTATTTTGCTAAATGCTCCCCCAGCTACAGTTCTGAAACAAAGTAAAAATTAGATAATAAAGGTCTGGCAAAGTATATGAAATTGTAACTTAATACTAAATGTACAATTTCTATATTCTGTATAAGATTTGAAGAAATGACAAGATTTCCGAAAAGTCTGTAGAAATATGTACAAAAGGCTGAGGATCTGATCACCTCATCTTTTGTATATACTTCTACAGTCTTCACATTATGTCCTTGTATTGTGTTGGTAAAACCAATGGATGATGAAACATGTACAAATTAAAGACACCAGATGTTGCACATGTCAAATTCATTACCACACACACTCATACCAGTGCTGACACCACTATACAGTATGGCCCCACTTATACGGCAAGTTAGGTTCCAGGCTACTGCTGGAAAGCAGATATCTCTGGAAAGCAGAATGCCACATTTTTCCACTTATAAATGTATATGAATGCCAGATGACAAGTTTACACTAACATATATTAAGTTAGCAATAGAGCTTAGGCATTAAAAAACAATAAAAAGTAAAATACACACACAGTACACTCATTATTTACCTCAAAATATTCAGTCTTATTGTAGGGCAAAAGGTGAGTAGCATTTACTTTAAGAAGTTAGGTGTGGTAGCACTCCTGGCCACCCCCACCCACACATAATATACTACAACGATGCTTAAATAGAGTGATAAAATGCATATACAGTACACTCATTACTTACCTTAAAATATTTGTAGTCTTAATGTAGGGTGAAAGGTGAAAAGTATTTATTTGTAGAAAGTGGTGTGGTAGGTAGGGTAGTGTAGGGAAGCTAGCCTGGCCACCCCACCCATTATGTAAACAAACAGACGATGCGTCTGGTTGTGGTTCATAAACATTCATACAAACACCTTGCAATAGCAACAGGAGACAAATAGTCAAAATCAACAAAACGAAATCAGAACCCCTGCCAATAACATGTGGAGTTCCCCAAGGTAGTATTCTGGGTCCCTTATTATTCTTATGTTATGTCAATGACATGCCTATCAGTGTCAAGTGCAAACTCCTACTGTATGCAGATGACAGTGCCCTGTTAGTGTCAGGTAAAGATCCACAAGATATAGCTAATGTTTTAACACTGGAACTGGAGTCCTGCAGCAAATGGTTAGTAGACAACAAACTATCATTACACCTCGGGAAAATTGAAGCCATTCTCTTTGGCACGAAACAAACTGAGAAGCATAAATAATTTTAATGCTCAGTGTAATGGGGAGCCCATCACTTTGGTTTCTTCAGTAAAATATCTGGGAATCCCCTTTGACCCATGCATGTCAGGAGAATTGATAGGGAATAGTGTAGTAAAGAAAGCGAATGCCAGACTGAAGTTCCTGTACAGACAAGCACAGTGTCTACCTACTGAGGCTTGCAGGACCCTATGTCTAGCCCTTATACAATGCCACATGGATTACGCTTGCTCTTCATGGTACTCTGCCTTGACAAAAAAACTGATAGATAGACTGCAAATCACCCAGAACAAAATTGTAAGATTCATCCTGGGGCTGGGACCAAGAGAACGTAGGCCAGGATGAATTACAGCAGTTGGATATGCTGAATGTTGAAGACAGTAAAACAACTGAAGCTAAATCATGTTTATAAAATTGCTCACAAACATTGTCCAGAATATCTTGCTGTCAATTTTGTCAGGGTTGGGAACCAAAGCAATCATAGTACTAGGGGGAGAGAGCACAACTTTGTAGTACCCACAGTCATTGGCCAGGCTTCAAACACCTTTTATTGTACAGCAATAAAGGAATGGAACAGACTACCCGCACATGTCAAAACCAGTCATAGCATGAACCAGTTCAAGAAGAGTGCCAAAAGGTGTCTGATGAATGTAGCTACAGAAAGGGAGGGGAATGATTTTCTATTTTTTAGCTAACATACGTGTAAATTTTACCTTATTCCTAGTAATGACCCTCGTATTGTAGATAGTCTTAATGACCCTCGTGTAGTAGATAGTCTTTTTAGTATAATAATATGTTATCTTCATTATAGAATAACAAGAAAATATTATAACCTTTATATTATAATAATAAGGTAAAAGGACCCCAATGGAAATAAGTCACTCTGTCTGACTTTTTTGGGTTATCCTAGGTTCCCTACACATGTGCTGCTATGTATGATAATTCTATGTAACTGTATTTGTGTATACCTGAATAAACTTACTTACTTACTTATTGTGTACAAACTGTCTGCAAAGTGGTACAGTAGAATAAAAAAAGACCAACACTTCCATTCTCATGTAATTTTTAGAAGGAATAATGCTCTGACAAATTATTATTTCTTTCTTTCAACACGCCGGCCGTATCCCACCAAGGCAGGGTGGCCCAAAAAGAAAAACGAAAGTTTCTCTTAAATTTAGTAATTTATACTGGAGAAGGGGTTACTAGCCCCTTGCTCCCGGCATTTTAGTCGCCTCTTACAACACGCATGGCTTACGGAGGAAGAATTCTGTTCCACTTCCCCATGGAGATAAGAGGAAATAAACAAGAACAAGAACTAGAAAGAAAATAGCAGAATACCTAGAGGGGTGTGTATTTATATGCTTGTACATGTATGTGTAGTGTGACCTAAGTGCAAGTAGAAGTAACAAGACATACCTGAAATCTTGCATGTTTATGAGACAGACAAAAGACACCAGCAATCCTACCATCATGTAAAACAATTACAGGTTAAAACAATTACAGGTACAAATTATTATTATTATTACAATTTTTTTTTTTTCAACAAGTTGGCTGTCTCCCACTGAGGCAGGGTGACCCAAAAAAGAAAGAAAATCCCCAAAAAGAAAATACTTTCATCATCATTCAACACTTTCACCTCACTCACACAAAATCACTGTTTTTGCAGAGGTGCTCAGAACACGAACAGTTTAGAAGCATATATGTATAAAGATACACAACATATCCCTCCAAACCGCTAATATCCCGAAACCCCTCCTTTAGAGTGCAGGCACTGTACTTCCCATTTCCAGGACTCAAGTCTGGCTATATAAAAATAACCGGTTTCCCTGAATCCCTTCACTAAATATTACCCTGCTCAAACTCCAACAGATCGTCAGGTCCCAAATACCATTCGTCTCCATTCACTCCTATCGAACACGTTCATGCACGCCTGCTGGAAGTCCAAGCCCCTCGCCCATAAAACCTCCCTTACCCCTTCCTTTCAACCTTTTCGAGGACGACCCCTACTCTATCTTCCTTCTACAGATTTAAATGCTCTCCATGTCATTCTACTTTGATCCATTCTCTCTAAATGACCAAACCATCTCAACATAACCCCTCTTCAGTCCCTCTTCACTAATATCTGTTATTATCTCACACCTTCTAATTTCCCCTCTGAATTTTCTGCATAAATTACACCACACATTGCCCTTAGACAGGAATCTCCACTGCCTCCAACTGTCTCCTTGCTGCTGCATTCACAACCCAAGCTTCCAAACACCCTTGTAAGAGTGTTTTACTACTATCCTCATACATTCCCTTCTTTGCCTCCATAGATTAACCTCTTTTTTGACATCCCCATAATACCTCAACCCGGCACCAGACTGCCTTTTTTCCCTCATCAATTTATGAATTAACCTTCAATCCATTCATAAATCCATCCAGCCAGACACGTAACTCCCAGATATCTGAAAACATTCACTTCTTCCATACTCCTCCTTCCAATTTGATATCCAATTTTTCTTTATCTAAATCATTTGATACCCTCATCACCTTACTCTTTTCTATATTCACTTTCAACTTTCTACCTTTACACACACTCCCAAACTCATCCACTAACCTTTGCAATTTTTCTTTAGAAACTCCCATAAGCACAGTATCATCAGCAAAAAGTAACTCTGTCAATTCCCATTTTGTATTTGATTCCCCATAATTTAATCCCACCCCTCTCCCGAACACCCTAGCATTTACTTCTTTTACAACCCCATCTATAAATATATTAGACAACCATGGTGACATTACACATCCCTGTCTAAGACCTACTTTTACTGGGAAGTAGTCTCCCTCTCTTTCTACACACCTAACCTGAGCCTCACTAGCCTCATAAAAACTCTTTACAGCATTTAATAACTTACCACCTATTCCATATACTTGCAACATCTGCCACATTGCTCCCCTATCCACTCTATCATATGCCTTTTCTAAATCCATAAATGCAATAAAAACTTCCCTACCTTATCTAAATACTGTTCACATATATGCTTCAATGTAAACACTTGATCTACACATCCCCTGCCCACTCTGAAACCTCCTTGCTCATCTGCAATCCTACATTCTGTCTTACCTCTAATTCTTTCAATAACAACCCAACTGCACACTTTTCCTGGTATACTCAGTTTTCTCTATAATTTTTACAATCTCTTTTGTCCCCCTTTCCTTTATATAAAGGGACTATACACACTCTCTGCCAATCCCTAGGTACCTTCCCCTCTTTCATACATTTATTAAACAAAAATACCAACCACTCCAACACTATGTCCCCCTCTGCTTTTAACATTTCTGTCATGATCCCATCAGTTCCAGCTGCTTTACCCCCTTTTATTCTACGTAATGCCTCACGCACCTCCCCCACACTCACATCCTGCTCTTGTTCACTCCTAAAAGATGGTATACCTCCCTGGCCAGTGCATGAAATTACTGCCTCCCTTTCTAGAAATATATACAAAGTATTTATAGGTTTCAGCAATGTTTTAGACATGCTGGAGTATATATGAAACTTCATGAAGCATAGTGTTTATGACGATTGTCACTAAACTGCTGACAGGGTAAGCAGTGGGGTGACACTTGATGACTGTTACACACAAACATGTATGTCTGTCTGTCTAGCTCTGCTTATCTGTCTTTCTGTGTGTGTGTGTGTGTGTCAGTCAGACAGACAGAGAGACAGACACACACACAGACACACAGACACACACACACACAGTGTGTGTGTGTGTGTGTGTGTCTGTGTATGTGTGTGTGTGTGTGTGTGTCTGTGTGTGTGTG